GTTAAGACCAGAAGGAAGCGCCATACTGATCATCTGCTTTCCTGTCCAGCGAGGTCTAGGCTTCAGAATTGCCGGGGGAGGAATCACCCCATCCCAATCAGGAACCCACATCATGATGTTCATGACTTGATCCTTGGTCAAGAAGACATCACGCCGGCAAATCTTGTAGATACCACACAGCGTATCCTGCACGATACCCATGAGCGGGCCGTTTCGCTGGGGAGACACGATGTTCATGGGGACCAATGCCAGTTGACTCAATTCCGCGCGCGATTCCTCGCTCTGAGGGACGTGCAAGTTCATCTCATCACCATCGAAATCGGCGTTGTAAGGAGTAGTGACAGACAAATTCAACCGGAAAGTGGAATAGGGCATGACGCGAACACGGTGACCCATCATGGACTCTTTGTGAAGAGACGGCTGTCGGTTGAACAGAATGACATCGCCGTCCATGATGTGACGCTCAACCTTCCATCCGTACAACAACTGTTGACCACCGGCTCTCTTGGCATGACGAAGATCGATGCGCTCACCATTGTCTCGGACAATATACCGAGCACCCGGGTGCTCATTCGGACCGTTCGAGACCAGAGTCTGCAATTTCTCGATGTTGTAGGGTGTGACCACCTCGGGATAAGTCAAGGTTCTCGCGATACTCTTCGGAACACCGACCTCCTCAAGAGACAAGTTGGGGTCACCAGTAATGACAGTACGTGCAGAGAAATCCACACGCTTACCCATCAAGTTCTGTCGTAAACGACCCTCCTTACCCTTCAAACGACTCCGAATAGCCTTGACTGGGCGATTCGACTTCTGCATGGCCTTCGGCTGACCAGCGATATCGTTGTCCATATAAGTGGCGACATGGTACTGCAAGAGCGACTCGAACTCGCGCACGACGTGCTCTGGGGCGCCTTCCTGCTCACAGCGTTGAACATTCTGGTTGGCTCTGACAATTTCAGCCAGCTTATATGTCAGATCATCCTCACCACGCTGGCCGCTGGTGCTGCCGCCGACAAGCACACTGGGACGAACAGGAGGAGGGGGAACCGGCAAGACGGTGATGATCATCCACTCAGGACGGGCATAGTCATTGCTCAACCCCATGATACGAACGTCCTCGTAAGAGATGTTACGGAAAACGTTCAACGCAACCTGCGGGGTGATAACCTTCTTCTCGGGTTGCTGCATGTCCATCTCGTCCATCATCTTATTCGGCTTCCACGTTCCAACAAGAGTGATACCTTCCTTACGAATCTGAGGTTGGGCATTACCGCAACCACCGTGCATCCGAACGGGTTTGGAGTTCTCTTTCGAGAAGGGCTCGTCATCGTCCGGGGGAGGGTCGGCTTCGCAGATAAGAACGTCTTTGGACAGTCGCCAGATGTGGTCGAATCGTCTCTTGGGGTCTCGCATGCGCAGGGCTTCTAAAAACTTGGGGTCGGACTGGTTTCATGTCAGCAAATATGCCGTGATAGATTTGCCATCCCATAAGGGATGACTAACCGTATTGGCTTTGATCTTGCCACAGTTGTGGCAGACCGTCTCAAGCAGCTTCTTGATCTTAGTCAAGAAACCTGGAGCAGACATTAGCAAGCGTACAACATGACTACTAAAATCCCCTGGCTGGCCGACAACATACCAATATGATAAACCGGTGTGGCAAGCTCAATATGTCCGAAATGACCAGGACACTCCTTCTGGCCTTCCTCACAAGTTTCACAGTTCCATTGCCGATCGATGGTTCCCAAGCGTGGATCGTTCAAACCCTTTGTGCGCGGCCGTTGCCGTTGATCATCCTGTTTGTTGTGTTACCGCGTTAGCGTTTTGCCACGTTCAGTCGGTGTGGGCGGCACTTCAAGGAAAAACAAACCATCGTCTCCGGATATTCAACATGGACCACGCTCATCCGCTTGATCTCCTCGGGTGAGAACAAACCAAACTGGATCTCCTTGATGGTGCGCAGAGGCGCCTTGGAGTAGGGAAAGTACACGTTCGCCATGATGGTGGTTGGTGTCGTCGGTTGATCGTTCTCCGGGGGTATGCGATGACGAAGGAGTCGAAATATGACCGAGCAAGACAGAAACTGACGTGTCGGAAGCACTGATCTATAGACAGTCTAAATGGGCTGAAGCGACGATGCAAATGTTTGCGAGCAAACTGGCCGGCCTAGGCCTCTGGCAGCCCTTGCCACGAGGGCGCCTGCGACCTTATCCACCGACTGCGCGAAGCTCGAAAAGGGCGGGAAAAAAGAGGGTCACGGTCGATCTTGGCGATATCTCCAGCTCGGAAAGTGATATCGCGATGCAAAGCGCGATGGTCGGGGTTGTTGGGCGATGGACAGGAGGCGTGTTGAGGTGATGAAAGGGAGACGGTTGGACGTCAGGTCAGTCGGCGATGGGGCAACGAGTTTTCTGAGCCGCAAGCTAGCGCGACCATCCGGCCCTTTAAAAGTCCGCAACGCTAAACCCATAGTGGGGCAAATGTGAGGTGGCAGTAAACTCTCCGCCACTCAGAGTGCAGTTACAGGCCAATGACTGGGGAAGGCAATTGACAGATTTATGTGACCTCTTCACCGCCCGCTCGTCGCTTTATTTCCCCTGCGGCTTCAATTCACTTTGCCAGCCGGTATTTCCCATTCCCCGCCCGGCTCTATTTCATTGAATCTGTGGCTATTGACTACACTGGATGTTTGCGCCCGAGCGAACCTCCCGGCCTTCTTCGCAGGCTGGGAACTTACCGCCTCTTTTGTCGTTTGACTTGCTGGCTCTGACTTGACGCTTGCCGAACTATTCTGCGTGAATCTAGCATCATGAATTTGTCTCTTGTTGATCCCTTTGTCCTAGCTCAGGATTATCCAGACACGTTGACGGAGAAGCTGAGTATGTCGCACTTCATCAATCTTCTAAGGTGTGATCACTAATCCTGTATCAGGAAGTGGACATGCGACTTGTCTACGTTTTAATCGCAAAGGAGACTATCTGGCGTCTGGACGGGTTGGTTGCCAACAACATGCGGGGATTGCTTCAAGATCAAATCAATAACCGTGTCCCAGGTTGATGGAACAGTAGTCATTTTTGATGTGGAAACCAACGGGGTTGCGCGAAAGCTACGAGGTCATACCAGGCAGATTCAGTCATTAAGGTAGCTCATTCACACACACCCTCTCGGCGCAATCCGCCGTACGCACATTGATGCTAACTACAATCGGTGTACAGTTGGTCAAGAGACGGCCGTTATCTTCTGAGTTCTTCTCAGGATTGGAAATGTATTCTATGGGATTTGAAAGATGGCTCCCGGGTCCGCACCGTCCGCTTCGAAGCACCCGTTTATATCGCAGAACTACACCCTTATAACCAGTATGACAGCCCTTCTATTGCTTAGCGGCTAGCATATTGCTGACGCGCCCCTCTTGCAGCTTGCTCTTTGTAGCGTCTCTTTTCGAAGATCAGCCTGTCCTCGTGGATGTTTCGTTACCCAAGCCCGTCAAGCGCATCCTTCCATCCGCTCCATTTCGCCCTCCGCCTCCTAAGAACGAAGAAATTGACCCCGCCGTTGCTGCGAAACAAGCAGCTCAAGATGCCAAACATTCCACATGCGTTACGATCTTCACTGCTTTAGGAAACCATATTATAGCGGGTACATCTAAAGGTTGGATCAATATTATTGAGACACAAACCTGTACCACAATACATTCAACTCGGCTCTGCAATGGTGTGGTGATCTTACTTCGCCTAGCGAGTAACGGTCGGGATCTACTAGTCAACAGCTCTGATCGCGTTATACGCACAATACTCATGCCGGATCTCTCGCAACTGGGTATCGATCTGGAGCCTACCAACATCAAACTCCAAGTGGAACATAAGTTTCAAGATGTGGTGAACCGTTTGAGTTGGAACCATGTAGCATTTTCTTCCACCGGGGAGTTTGTTACTGCGTCCACATTCATGAACCCTGACATTTATGTTTGGGAGCGGAGCCACGGCTCCCTGGTTAAGATTTTGGAAGGCCCCCGCGAAGAACTAGGAGTGGTTGAGTGGCACCCTAGTCGTCCGATGGTGGTTGCCTGTGGCTTAGAATCTGGATGCATCTATACTTGGTCGATTGTGACGCCTCAGAAATGGTCAGCCCTGGCCCCTGACTTCGGTGAGGTCGAAGAGAACGTCGAGTATGTTGAGCGTGAAGATGAATTCGATATTCACCCGGCCGAGGAAATTCACCAGCGCCGTTTAGACCAGGAAGACGAAGTCCCCGACGTTCTCACAATCGAAGTAAACAAAGACGGCGCGGATGAGGATAGTGTTACCTCATTTCGCATGCCAGTCCTTCTTGATATTTCGGACAGTGAAAGCGAGGATGATATCATCGCCGTTGGACCCGGGACGATGAGGAGACGTAGTCCAGGCGCAGCGCGAGACCGAACGAATGCCAGTGGTGATGGGGAGAAGGACAGTGTAAGTGGCGGTAGGAACGGCACCACACGAGGTCAGAAGGGTCGGCGGCGCTAAGTTGTACTTGTGGCTAACACACTGCGTTCTCCCACTGTTCTGAGTGTTGCTTCTGTCTTACTTTGCGAGTCATCTATTGGGTTATATGTCAGTTAGAGGGTTCTTGGCGTCTGGTAGGCTGTCTCAAGGGACATGGCACTCTTCGGATATACTTACGGTACATGATCGGTGGAGTTTTGGTGGGAGAGAACAATGTTCAATAGAACCCATTTGAAGGGCTTTGCGTTATTTTTTAAGCCCTCCGTTTCGCTTCTTTTTCATCTAGTTCATTAAGGAGTACCAAATCAAAGGTGGCTTTCTCACAGGACCGCCACGGTCATTGGAGTTTGTTGGGTCTTAATGGAGTGGCTGGTGTTGAGAGGCCTCAGAGGGTCCGTCACCACGAGCACTCAGTCAACTGCCACGATGGTGCCATTACCGCAGAGCAGTCAGCCTTGGTTGCAGATGTTTCCAAGAAATACAACATGAGGATGAGAGTTGCTCTTGGATTCTGGCAAAGGTGATACTCTAGAGTCGTCGTGTCACTTCTGTGAGTTTCGACACCGGCATCTCATCCTCTCGAAGAGCTTCAAAATTCCTCAACTCGAGCAGTATTTCCTGAGACGGCAATCATCCTCATAGTGTGAATGGCGATATACATCGTGTCCGCAAAATTCTTGTGCCGTTCGGCTGTCTGCACTAGAGTAGGCAAAATTACAAGATAGGCCTGCCTGCGTTCCTGGCATTCGTGCTTCAAAAAAGCAGTGTTGGTCACGAGTTCGAGTCCATGAGTGGTTTTGTGGACTCTGCTCGCTCTGGTGTATATGCAATTCAGTATGATCCCGTCAAGGAGACGGGATCGGTCGTCACTTGTTCCCATCAAGGAAAAAGGGAATGGAAAAAAGAAGTAAACAGATAGGAGGACCCTCCCACAAAAGGCTGTATATGGGTATCCGAAATGAAATTTGCATTACAGCCGGCGCTGTCGTAATTATTTCAGCAATTTCATAGGGACGGGCCGCCCGGCTTCCGTGCCTGGTATATGTGTAAGATGTTGTAAGCGTGGATTTCCTTGTTGAAGGCCTGTGACTTAACCTCCGCCGTGATTTGTCTGATTCTCTCCAAGTCCCAGTGAAAGATACGACTGAAAGGGGCGAGGCTGAGCGTCTCGATACTTTCAGAGATGGCAAGGTTATACCAACGGGCTACCTTCTTCTCATGTTCATCATGGTGCCAAGGGTTGAGAGGCAACCCCACCATCTGATGGTCGATTTGAGTGAAGCCTGCCTCCTCAAGGTGTCTGATGGTATCCCGGGAGCTGTGCGCTATGGGCCTCATAGTATCTTGTGTCGCCTGCTTTAGGTATTGATACCATTCCCGGAGTGCCAGTCCATCCAGGGAGCGATCATCGCAGCGGGGTTCGAAATCTATTTCCACTTGTTCAAACCATGCCCCAGGCTGAAGATGCCTTAAGATTCGCTTGTAGAGATTCGGCCAGCCCAGAACACTGCCGGAACCCATCTGTAGGTGGATTAGATCCCAAGAGTTCTCCCCAAGTGTCCATGGCGCCTCAAAGTCAAAAGGCGCATAGAACTCGCAGTTGTCAGGGTGGTTGGGAGGCTGTATAGGTGCTAGATCTACCCCAGCCACGAAAGCATTGGGATACTTATGGGCCACGTCAATGGCCCAGATCCCAGTGCCGCATCCCAGATCTAGGAATCTACCATTTGGGGGGTGAGGTGCGTAAATTAAGCTCTCGGACACCCGTGCTACCGTGAACAGCTTATGGAAAATATCGAGACGGTCCTGCTCCTCTTCATCACATGGCAGCGGGTAAACTCCTCTGCGATAACCATGATATGTTCTCCCATTTTCTTCATAGAAGAGCCATCTGTTTGGAGGCCTAAATCAAACGAACAACAGAAGGAGAAGATCCCTGAATTAGTCGCCCGATAGTTGTAGAATACTAGCGATGTTGCACAGCACGAGGAATAGGGATTTTGCGGGGTGTGTGGGGTGCACAGTATGGGAAAGGGTGAAGTACCTAGTATAACGGCTTGTCTGATCTGGACCCCCATGACCATCATAAGGATCATCGTTGGGTGGGGGTTCTCGAGGAGGTTCTTGACCTGTGAGGACGTGAATGTCCATGGCCCCCGAGTTTTGCCTGGAACGGCCGGAATCATAAGATCCTAACCCTTGGTAGCTGTAGTTATTGCGATTCGGCGAAGCCATGGTGATTGGTGGGTGCAAAACTCGTCCGATTTCAAACATGAGACCCAGAAGTCCAAGAATCGATTCACTGAAGAAACCGACTTTTCTTGCTCAGGATATGGTAAGGACACAAGGGTGCGTTCAATCAAAGACCGGCGTTCTTGGTTGACGGTAACGTAAAATGCCAATGCTAGCCAACAGGGTGTATGCAGGCTGTGGGTGATATCGGGGTATCGAAAGTCAGGTGGCACATAGAGGAAGTTGAAGTTCGGCGCCGCAAATGAGCCAATGATTGGATTGAAAGGTTGGATGGACGAAAGGATGGCAACAACAAACTCGCCGAAGATATCCTCAGCGGAACCCAGCACTGGCCGTTGAAGGGAATTAAAAGGAGTGGAAGAAAGAGGGGAGTGGAAAGCCGCAGAGCAAAAAGCCAAGGCAAGTAAGAATGATCCAATTCCACGATAGTGTATTTTACCCCCAAGCTTGGAAATATGTATGAGAGCAAAGATGCACGCACACCCGTGCGCACGCACACACACAGTGGAGAAGAGTCTCCCCAAATCTCGGCCGAGGCACAAGGAGGAATGAGGATACTAAATAGGGAAAGAGGAAAAAAAAAAAAAAAAAAAAAAAAAAAAAAAAAAAAAAGCCTCCTCCCCGCAAGGACAGGAAACCGTCGGGGGAAGAGAACAAAAGAGAAAGTAGCGGTCACGGCAGCGGCATAGGCGAGAAAATAAGAATAATAAATAGTATCGATAACAACAAGTAGGAGTCAGGCGTTACGAGGAGAGAAGCGACTAAAAGAACAACCATGGATCGGGGGAGGGACGATCGAGAATTAGGTCAATTGGACTGGATCATCGGATCAAAAAGGGAAAATCCGATCCCGGAAGTGAGAGTCCATTTAGACGGCGGAGAGGAAGGGGAGGGGAGGAGGGGGGGGGAGGAGGATGAATACAGTAGAGGGCAAAGGAGAAAAGGCAAAAAGCAAAGCAACCCTGCCTTTAAGGTTGTTGCAGCCGCTGTCTTGACCCCGTTGGGCCCACGGGCGCGAAGGCGGGGCGGTTAGAGGGCCTGGGAAAAAGGGCTGGAATGGTGGGAAACGCAGGGGAGACAGACAGTGAGAGGCAAAGAGAGAGTGAATGAGTGAGAGTGGACCAAGAGCAAAAGAGAGATTGGGTTAGGGGAATGAAATCAGGGCAAGCAGGTAAGAAAGGTAAACAATCTGGCGGCTAGACTGGCTTGGATTTGTGTTTGAACTACTGCCAGTTATGAGACGTGAAGGTTCCAGAGTTTAGTGGTTTGTTGTAGATGGCATCTTTGCTGCTGCTGCTGCTGCTGCTGCTGCTGCGAGTCAGTATGTGGTCGAGTACCGACATGGGTTCAGGATGCGTCGGGGATGGTGGGAAATGCGCCTGGCTATCGATCTGGCACCTTCCGAGCATCATTGGTTCCCTCCGGAAGTAGAGCCCCTCCGGCAACCATGGAACATGGCTTCCTTAGCACCTCTGGGCAGCTACACGCGGATCACTAAGGTCCTGACTTGTCTCTGGCTCTCTGCTGTGAGGGTATTTTTTTCCAACTGACGTCCGGAACCTGGATCAATAATCCGGTATTGATCCGCTACTGCCATGTTTACAATCCCTGTCCTATCAATCAATCAATCAATCCATCAAACTATTTCTACCCCTTAGCGACAAATAAAAATAAACGTTTGGATGGCGCTTCACTGCCTCCTCAGGGCGACACGTCCAACGTCTGTGTGCCTGCTGTCTGGTACCGATCCCAGGGTGGATGCACGATGTACTAGGTATGTATGGTTGGTACATGTTGACTAGCTTGCTAACTAACTCACTACTACCACAACATACAGACGCACTAACTAGGGAGTCTGGCTAGTGTTCCCAGGTGTTACCAGGTGGTGCACCTGGACCTACATACTACATGCTATATCCACAGGGGATAATCCTGGACACATAGGCTGTCGGTATATCATACGCACAAAATACATACAGCTTGTATCCACCACGAGTTCGAAGCAGGTAAGTAGCTTAGCGTCTTCCCATTTGGTCTTTGTCTCTCTTTTATCCTTTTACTTATTTTTTCTTTTTTTTGTTGTTCCTTTTTTTTTTTTTTTTTCTTTTGTCTTTTCTCCCCTCTTTTTATTTCCTCTCTTATTTTTGTCTCCCCTTTTGGCCTCTAATTAGCATTTCCGACCTTTTAAATTTTTTCCTTTTCCGGTTATTCTTTTCCATATGCTTCTCCTCTTTCGGGCAGAATTGAATTTCGTTATATCGTTATCCTTCTCTAGTCTACCACTTCTTCTCTATCCTCAGCATTTCCCTCCCTTTCCCTTCGCTTCCAAAAAGCCAAGAAGCAGAGCATGGATACCTAACTTCGGGTCGCCAAAAACCAGTTCTCACCCAGATTGATAACTTTGGGTCAGTTCGAGGCTGGCGGTAAATGATTGGTGTTGAAGAAGTCGCTGGTATTTCGTCCTTCTAGTACGACACCCTGCCTCCCAACCGGTACCAAAGAAGATCCAACTCTTCGTTCTTTTTTTTGCCTGAGGCTCTGATACGAGTTCCCATTGCCTCGGTTCGCGGCTTGTATGTATCCGTCTTACCAGTAACAAGACGAGCAAGAAAATAACGGTGATCACAATGATGGGGGATCATCCGGATATACAGTGAGTGTGAGGGTGTACCAAAAGGGAAATAAAACCATAGAGGAAAATGAGGGAAAATAGAAGACACAATCCTAGGCAAGAAAACTCCACCAAAAACCATCTTGTCTAATGGCTTAGAGCAGGTTAGGGCAGGATCAGTTTGCCCGACGCTATAAAATGGAGGTTTGTGAGGGGGGAAAATAATAATGAACCAAAGAGATTGAAACGAGCCAGGATCGAGGGAAGACAGCAACCATGGATGGGTCCTCAATCAAATTTAGCCCAAGTGACTTCCGGGCGGGATGCGGACCGTCTCCCACACTTAGTTGAATAAAGGAAAGTTTCCTCGGGGGAGCCACTAACGCACAATATCTCCGTGGGCCTAGTGGTCGCTGCCCGCATTCTCAGGCATGCAAGCGTCAGGCAGCGTTACCAACACTCTGGTTGAAGGATTTGAAGCTTCGGACGTGCTTCCCTTTCAACCCTCGCCCGTAGCGCCCGCAGCGCCCACCACAGGCAAACCAAAACCCGTTCCAACCCTCCATCGTTCAGGGTCACTAAACCCACGGCATTGCGTGCAGCCGCTCCGGAGTGGATCAATTTGCTGAGGGCGCTCCGTATCTGTCTCTCGTAGCGCTAGAGAGACAAGAGACTCAGACTCCTTACACGCACGCTGGTCGTTGGTTCCACTCAGGCTCCATCCTGGACGACTACTAACTAGTAGCCCGTGGCTGTGGGCATGGACATCATGAGTTCTGGGTCTACTAAGTATTGGACAAGACTTTCCAGGAAGGCCAGGAAAGGATCATGATCGGAGATTATCATGATACTCATCACATCATGACCTCGTTGTGATGATCAGGAATAAATCCTCAAGTGGGGGGCATGTTGGGAAGAAGAGAAAAAACCCACTCCTTCTGGACATCTCCCACAGAAAAGAAAAAGAAGGTTTTACTCTGTACTACCTCAATTATTCTCGGGATTCTGTGAAGTGTTCCTCAGCCGTACTATCTATCATACCCACCACTTGGAAGATTAGTGAAAGTGTGAGAGGCTGGCTGGGAGGGGGCTACGTTACATCCAGCTATTCCTGGACAGGCTGCACCATGGAACTCAATATATCGGGACAACATGCTGGATCGGCGTTGGGAGCTGAGGCCTGTGATTCATCCCGAACGGTTGGACAAACATCATGTTAGGGGAGAGGGGGTGTGGAGGTCAAATAAAATAAAAATAATAAAAATAAAAATTGAAATTAAGAAGAGGAAAGCCAGAAGAAGGCTAAATTCAAAACCGAACAAAAGATCCAAGGCTCTCTCTCTGTCTGCCTCTCTCTCTCTCTCTCTCCCTCCCTCCCAGTAAAAAGCAAGTTTCAGAGAGAAAAAGAGAGAGAGAGAGAGTAAAAGAACTGGGCAGGTGGCGGAGGGATGGACGGTCAGCGCCGTGAGCCGGGCACACTATGTGCTTAGGTCGACGCATGTAGTATGTACTCCGTATGCAAGTTGTCCCTCCTGTACTCCATACATACATCGTACATGTGTCCTTCCAATCCATCCCATGGTCACCCGCCCGCTTGGCGCCCGAACCAGCCTGGCGTTTGGCCTAAGGGAACAGCAGTTGCCTTGATGTAGGAATCTCATGTTGATCGTTTCACCGCTTCCCAGACTCTCGGGTCGATGGTGATGATGCATGCATCATCCTTCTATGCGTTGTACTTGGTGCCTGGTCAAACCGGCTGTTCTCACTTGCTCAGCCTGCATACACCGGAGACTTGGGATTTCCCCTTCCCCTCTCTCCCTCTCTCTCCTCTCTCCCTTCACACACAGTAATCACACGCACTGACTACTGGTTCTCGGTTCTTCTTACCTCTACTAGTCTTTCAATTTATCTAGTTGACGGCTGTGAACCATACAAGTCATGCCTTTCTATTTCATTTTTTTTTTTTACTGCATGTGGTACGGATGTGCATCAAGTCATTCATTACTGGATGCGTCCAGAAGATAGGCACTTTTTTGACGTTTGCTCCTCCGCGCTACTAGTACCTTCCTTAATGGCCACTTCACTTTCCCATTGTTCGTTGACAAGTCAACCTCTTACCCCCGACTTGAGTTCCCCGAATCTTCGCAGACCAACATTGCTGCAAGGCTCGCATATATTTACCTTAAACCACACAATCTAATAACCAAGGATTGATCTGGGAGGGAAGGAAGGGAGAGAGTGAGAGCTCTGGTTGTGTCTTCCCGGCTATCTCCTTCCTTTGGGGAATCATCACGGGGCACGTACTATACTAGCTGGCTTAGTACTTCAGGCCCCCCTCCCAAAATCCAACTAGACGGTTGGCAGCAATTACCGACCAGAAGGATTACCCCATCGAGGTTTAACTCGATCAAGCAGTTCTGGGTCAATTACACGACCAGCAAGTTGATAGCCCCGATAGTTAGATGCGCACTCACTGCAGAATTATACCTGTCCTTCACCTCTACAGACCTACGGTGTTGTTTTCTAAGCAAAAGCCCCCTGCTTGCTCCGACTTCAGATTGGAGTCGTCGTGGCATCATCCACCGTCGACGCCCGGCCCGGTTTCCAGTGTTCCCCATCGGAAATATCAACCCATACGACGGCTGCCCCATGATTTGCCCAATCGTCTGGCCTTCGGCGTCGGCCGTTGGCCGTCAACAATCGACCTTCCTTTCGGGGATGATGTTGGGACCAGTTGCGGTCTGTTCATTATAACAAAAGCCGATTTCTGGTGCCGTGCATCGCAAAGCTCTCGGTCTGTTGTGGCTGTTCTTTCAAAATCTGGTGACTATATTATACCTACTATTATGTACGGGGGGTTTCAGCTAACGCAGTTACCGTCCTATTTCTTGCATTCGTGTTTGGCTTGCGGAACGTGTCCGTCTATCATTAAATACAGCTACTTTTACCGTTACGGTTCCCGTCCAATCAGCGAGGCATGGCTTGACATACAAAGGAGCCCCGATTATGAGGCTCACCATTGAACCTTATACAGACAAGGGTAGCTGAGTACTTACCTACAAAAAATCACATGGTATCTACGACTGGAGACTTTCAGTTACTAATGGCTACCGCCAGCCACAGCCACGAATTGATCCGCGTCCGGTCAGGCAAACCGGCAATGAGGCTTGAGGTATTATTAACAACGAATCTCCGAGTAGACCATGAGTGATTTTCGTTCAAAAAAACTCTTAGCGGGCACGGTCCTCATCGCGCTCTCTAAGATGGTCTTGCACACTGAGTGGAGACTAAATGGCCGTGTCCATAAGTACTTAACCCGGCGTTTTATACAGCAAGGCGGGCGGTGCATGCCGCCTTCATAGCCTAGAACGATGAACTAGCAAACGGTGACAGGCAGAGTGGAGACTTTTTCCATCTGAAGAAATCACCCCTTTCTAGGGAGGAATTCTGCATGTCTTACCGCTCTAGGTAGGTAGATAGACCGCGTCGTGGAGGCTTCCTTATATGCTTATTTTTCAATTCAATAATTCAACATCTATAGCTTATTAATACGGTTCATAGCTGGCTAGGCGCAATCAACCCATAGTGGAGTTAGTCTAGATGTCATTAGAACAAAGAAAAAGTATACTAGTAATACAAATGAGATGAAAATCATAGCATCATTGTTGATATGCATCGATTGCTATAATCCAGCAACTATCCTAGCATTGATCCAACTTCCTGTTCTTAAATATTTGATGCGTAGCAGTACTTATTAAATAGCAACTCTGTCGGTGTCCTAGCATACGTGTCGCTGGTTAATATTTCTTGTGATATCATGATCATCAAAGTTGACCCGAGTATTTATATTCCATACTACCATATGAATACACCCAACACCATGTACAAATACCGACATCGCTATAGCAAGTTCATAACCCTCCAATCTAGACCACTCACTAATCACATACCAATAACCTCATAGCGACCAATACTATACCCCATAACAGTACAATGTATACTAGTAGTGACCTACTAGTCAAAGAGAGGAAGGAGACCGCGCGACCAGCATAGTCAAGTCCATTTAAAATCCATACTTTCTCCTAATAATACATCCTACTACTTCCTCCCGTTAACAGGGATTATGATCGCAAACAGGAAATGTATATATATATGCACAATTATTACTACCGCGCACACAACCCACAAAAACCAAACCTAAAATTTTCAAACCATAGATAAACACATAGAAAAACATGAAAAAAAGGAGAGAAAAAAAAAACACAAAGATAGTCGCGCCCGGGATCGAACCGGGAACCTTCTCGGAACCTCCATCAAATGAGGATTGACGATGTGAACGAGAAATCATAACCATTAGACCACGCGACTGTGATTTAAAGTTTGAAAAATTTCGGACTATAATTCACAAAAGATTGAACCGGACCGGTTAGTTATCTTATCGCGCGGTGTTTTTGCAAACCAGCGAGCGGGCTTGGTGTGGGTTTGGATTGGATTAGATTGTAGTACTCCGTAGTTAGATTTTTTTTTTCAGATTACGGCCTCCCCTTCCTACACTATCTAACTAACTATCTATCTATCTCTTCGCGGTCGTCGCATTTCTTTGCTTGTGTATGTGTTGGGGGGATTTTACATAGCGGTTTCTTTCTTTCTTTCTTTCTTCCTTTTCTCTTTTCTTCTCCTTCTCTAATTCGCATACGCACGCGCCGTTTGCAATCCACCGATCGATTGATCGATCCGTCGAGAATAAGTCGCATTCAACGAACGACCTACCTATCTACCTACCTTTACCAACCAACCTACCTACCGACGTTACTACCTCCGAACCGACCTACCTTCCATTAACAAAGAAAAGAAAAAAAAGGAAAGCAAATGGACGCCCAAGCCTACCTTCTCCGCCACGGCTGGTCCGGTCCCGGCAACCCACTCAACCCGAACCGACGGCCCGGCACACACGGCGGACTAGGACTGACGAGACCGATTCTCGTTGCGCGACGCCAAGGCAACCAAGGCGTGGGGAAGAAGACGACCAAGGACCCCACGAATCAGTGGTGGTTGCGGGGGTTCGAGGACGCGCTGAAGGGCGTGGGCGACGAGAATAAGAGTGCGGGGGATGCGAAGCGCACGCCGAATGCGTTGACGAGTGAATTGTATCGGTATTTTGTGAGGGGGGAGACGGTTCCGGGGACTTTGGGGGATAAGAAGAGGAAGGCTGAGGATGAGGATGATGGTGGGAAGAAGAAGAAGAAGAGCAAGGGAGAGGAGAGTAAGGAGGAGAGATGGGTGAGGAGGGAGGAGAAGAGGAAGAGGAAGGAGGAGAGGGCAAAGAGGAGAGAAGAGAGGAAGAAGAAGAGGGAGGAGAAGGAGGTTAGGAGGGCGGAGAGGGAGAAGAAGAGGGCGCTTAAGAAGATGAAGAAGGAGAAGGAGAAGGAGAAGGAGAAGGAGAAGGAGAAGGAGAAGGCTGGTCCTGAGGATGTGTATCCTACGCCGCCGGCGACGGAGGTGGAACAGACGGAGTCGAGTGGGAGGGATGAGGAAGAGGTGAAGAAGGACAAGAAGAAGAAGACGAAGCGAGAGACGTCTGCGTCGGATGACGGGTCGAAGAAAAAGAAGTCGAAAAAGTCCAAGGATGGGACGGCGTCCTCGAATTGAATGTGGATGATTGGGATCGAGAGATGCTCTTTGGCAGTTTATAGATAGATTCGACTTATAGATACCCATGGCTGTGCTACTTGGTTGTACATTCTCACGAACAATATTTGCATTTTCATTATCATTCTTTTAATCGTCATATCATCATGCTACTTCCTTCGCCTCTGTAGGCAGCTTTCCGGGCTTGCCGGAGAGAATCCATGGCCGTCTCTCCCAGAACTCGTCCTTGATGATGTCGACATGGTCGACCACGACCTGCACTTTGCGACGCAGTTTGCGGATCTTCTCCTGCTGTGTCTTGGAGGGCGTGTCCTCCTGCAATGGTGATGTTTCTTCCTGCACGCTGGAGTCTGAACTTTCCTCTAGTTGATACTGTACCTTGGTCAGTAGCCACACAGACGAAGCAGGAGAGACACACATACCTGGCGATATAAGACGCTGCCCTTCTTATAAATTTCTTCTTCATTGTTATAGTTGATGCCGAATCTCTTGAAGAGGATCTCATTCTTGTCAGAAGACAGGGTGCCCTGGTCGACACTGTTAGCAGCAGCAGCAACTCTCAAGCACCAGAAACTCACCTTTAACTCCAGTTCGGCTTCTCTTCTATCCATCCCACCTTGCAGGACCATGGACCAGAAAGTCGTATTGTAAAGGTTATTGATATGACCTACAGCATATTAGCACACGACAAATAGAACGGCCAATGCTGCCAATAGGCACAACTCACAATCCACCTGCCGCCAGCTCATATAATCCCTGAAAATTCTGGAGTTCGGATACATCACTGCTCTTCCATCGAACGAAGGCAGAGCTGCTGGCTGCAGCGGCGTATCGGGGAAATACGTCCCCCATAGATAGATGTAATGCGCCGTGAATGTTGACACAATGGTCGTTACTAGTTTGCTGTATTCCAAGCAGAATGAGTCCATACTGCTAGTGGACATAAAATATTGCGCACGGAAAGAAGAATAACTTACGCACTCCGCCGCTCAAATAATTGGCAGTTGGGATGAAAAGCGAAACTAATCTCAAGTCAATATCACCCCATTTGACCGGGAGCATGTCGCATCGCATACCTGTACTCATCGCTAATACCGTAGGCGATGCAAAGATCAGGAAGATCTTTCATGACGCCGACGGCTGCGGCATTCATTAGGTCTAGGGCCCGACGGTCATTGGGCTTTATGAAGCCATAATAATCAGAGAGTCTACATTCCGTCAGTTAGCGACATGTAAACAGCCAGCTCTTAAGATAAGGAGTTGACTCAGCTGCTAAGAGCAGTTTCGAAAAGCGCAGCATCGTGTTGAAGCCTTAGGAGGGAGATGCACTGACTTGTGGAAGCCTCTGCCATCGATCCGGACCACAATCCATGTATTGGGAAGTAGAACGTCCGGTTGCTCGAATGACTTGACATATTCATATCTGTGGCGGTTAGCAGCTGCTCTCAAAATTGATTTACTGGACAGGGAACATACTTGGAATTTGCCATCTTGCTTTAGACTGCAGTATCCGGGACTGGCGATGATTGTTGTGCAGGAAAAGCCGTCGGGCTGGCGAGGGAGAATGAATCATGAAGATTTGGGTGGGGATGAGGGACGAACCGAACCGTCCCTCCACGGCCAGCGTTGCGCTGCTTTGCACCCAATAGCTCTTAGCATCTCTGGTAGGTATAAACTACTTCGACCACAATGCTTTCGACTAGAGCTTTCGCCTTTGATTACTACAGTAAATTGCAGGTATACAGAAAAATGGATCATTTCAAGAGGATAAGAAAGGCATGCTATGTGCCACAAAATGACTTCTACCGTCACTAGCTAAGAAATTGAGAGAATGCCTAACGCCACACGGCGACCTAACAAAAATGAAATAGAAAGAATGGATGGTGTATGTTCATGCGTGGATCTCCTCCGCTGCCTCTTCATCCTCCGCCTCGCTAACATGCTCACTGGGGCGTTCACTCGTCTCACTGGCGGCCTTATCGGACTTCCTGGACATGCGGCTGAAGAATCCCAGGCTGCTTCGAGTAGATCGGTCTGCTGAAGGGGCGCTGGACACGGTGCTGTCTACGCTCTTGGCAAGCATCGCCTCGCTATGTGCGTCTTCGTCAATGTCGCCTTGCGAAGGGTCACCCTTCTTGGAGAAAAGCCCTGACCGGTCCTTCCAGGAACTGAACTTGCTGGAGCTGCCCTTTCGGGTGATCTTACGAATGAATGACTCTTTCGAGCTTCCATTATCCAGCGAGCCTGCGGAGGGCATACGTTCCAAGGATTCATACGAGTCGCCTGTGTACATAGAGAAAGAACGAGAATCCCGCGAGGTGCGCGATTCAGACGGAGAGCCTTCTTCCATGTGGAAGTCAAACGGAGCATCTAGCTCTCGGTCTTTCGCTGCCTCCTTCTCTTTGCTCTTGTCCGACCGCTTCCCAAAGATGGTCCTGAAGGAAGGTGCAGCAGGATTCAATTTTGGAGTGACTGGCCGATGAGAAGATGATGGCCGTGTACCGATCGGCGCCTGCAATGGCCGGCCTTGTCTCTCGAACGAATCTTGGAGAAAGTCTGGCTCCCCAGTAAGGCCCAAAGGAAGGTGACCCGATGAGCCGTACTGTGTAGATGGCCGGCGCGACTGCACCCGAGACCAGGTCGATGGGGAAGTCCAATCAAACCCCAGAGGACTTCGATGGCCTTGCTTTTCTGCCGATGGCCAACCGAAGTGACGATTATCGGTGGAGGGATGAGGAAGCTGGTTTTCGAAAGAGAAGGTCGATGAGGGCCGCGGAGACAACGACTCCCGGCGCACTGTGCCCAAGATGGAGGAAGGATCGATGGGATCATGACGAGGACTGAACTGGTTGTATCCTGTGTTATGATCGGAGGTTTCACTGGATTTGAGCAGACCGTGTCCACTGCCGAATCCAAATCGGCTGGGTGAGAAGATGCTGGAAATGCCTGCGCGTCGCGAGGGAAGATGGTCGGAAGAGCTGTCTGTTGTAACACCTGCTGTGTTGCTCCTGGGGAACAGAGACATCGGATTCGCCCAGTTGCCTGTATAGCTCAGCCGACGACGTCTAGCCCCTATGGGATCCATCTCCTCCAAATTACGGGGGAACGACTGACTTTGTCCTGGTTTCAAACTGCCCAGTAGAGGTGGCTCGTCTGCCAATGTCTTGCCGCGAGGACGGTGGAAGCCAAAGAGCCCCGAAAGCCTGCGCGACGCACTTTTGGGCGCCTCGCCTACATCCAAATTCACCGGTTGCGATTCAACATCTTTGGGCAGGGTCTGGTCCTCCGGACTAGCGAAGAGGCTTTCCGGCCTGCTTCCGGTAGAGTCTGGCGAAGGTGGCCCATGAGGAAACTCTAGCGCAGTGCTTGGTTGTTCGAGGTTGGAAAAGCGAGAACGGATGGCCGGACGGGGGAGTTCGGGCGACTCCTCGTCTCCGAGGAGATCGGACGGAAGAAGTGCGTCGGCGCGAGGGCTCATTTGAGGGTTTCCAAGCGACATATCCGAGTATCCCCGCGTACTATCCGACTGGCCCGAAAGGCTCGGGAGGGTCATTCCATTGTTGATGTTGAAGAAGGCAGAAGTCGGGCCAAAGGTGGGAGACCCAGTGGCAGGAGGGTTGTAGCTAATGCCACCTGAGAATGAAGGCTCGATGGCCGTGAAATTCATCGGAGATGAGACATTACTGGCGAGTGAGCTGCGGTGTCGACGTGGGCGAATAGTCGCAGTGTTGGAGAGATCAAGATCGAGAGCTGGGATAGAAAAGGGTCCTGTGCTGCCGGTACGTTGGGTAGTTAGCCACTTCAGGCGCTCCTGCGCTTCTTGGTACTGCTGCTGAGCCTGTAGAGCCAGTTAGAGACTATGTCGAGAACCAGGCTATTGTAGATATACTAACCTGGGTATGGAGGTTGACAAGGGTAGCATAGCGAGCGTGAAGATTGCTCAATTTGATCTCCCACTGGCGGGCTCGCTCATTGTCAATGCGATCCAACTCCTTTCCATCCTCGCTATCTGCTTCCTGGTGGGTTTGCCTCTCCTCCTCCAGCTTCTTGACACGCCCGCCCTTGTCTTGAATTTCGTCATCGATGACCTTCATCTCTGCCTGCTCCTTGGCAATCTTCTTCCGAATCTCATCTCCGCGCTGCTTTCCCTCCTCTTCCAGCCGTGCCTTTTCCTCTTTCGACTCCGCTGCTTCACGGTTCATATTCTCAACCCGCTCCTGCCACCGGACGATATCGGACTTGCGCTTCTTACGCTCAGACTCCTTCTGCTGCAGGAGTCTTTCACGCTTCGCCTTCTCACTCTGCACTGTACGATTGACACTTTCCAGTTTGTAAACGTGCTTCTTCAGGTCGCCGCTCGCTTCATCCTTTTCCTTGACCCGCTTTTTCAATTCATCACGCTGTTTCTCAAGTTCCTTCAAAAGAGCAATGTGCTCCTCTTCTTCATCGGTAGTTTGCTTCTCGACGGTCTCGTTCTCGTGCTGCAGGGTTTTCAATCGGTCGGCGAGTTGTTCGAGAGTCTCGTCGTGATCGTCGTTCGTGGTGCTCTTTTGTGTCTCCTCCGCATGGCCATGCGAGACCTCCGTCCCGCTCGCTGCAGGAGACGGTTTCCGCCCGGCTGAAGATCGCTTGGCTTGGAGCTGTCCTCCGCTGTGCTCCCGAGACATCACGGGCGCCGAGGGGGCAGCAAGACCAGCGGTAGACCGGGGGATGGACGCCCGAATGGTAGGATTGCCGACCGTAGCATTCTGTTGGGTTTGCGACAAGGGCAAAGACTTCGTGCGCACATGGATGATTGCACTTGGGGTTTGGAAGTTCGCAGCACTAACTGAAAGAACGCAGATATGATAGATACTTCCGGGAACCAAGTTCAGGATTTCGACTGCAGTTTCCGCTCGTTTCGATTCGCCCACTGACAACTCATTAGTATCAACAGAAAGAGATTCGAGGGAGCCATTGCCGAGGGTACCCTTGATGCCGTTCAATTGGATGATGTGCTTGTGGATGGAATTGTGAAATTCGGGTTGTTTCCAGGCGATGCGAATTTCACGGGCGGTAATCTCTTCGAGGGTGACCTCTGGTGGCGGAGGAATATCCAGACCGAGCTTTTCAACTAGGACGTCGTTGGGGGTCTGGCAGACCTGCCACGCACGGTACAGTAGCCTTTGAGAGAAGTTGAATTTAGTTGTGCGCTCTCTACACTCTAACTGAGACCTTGCGACCTACCAGATCAGAGCCCAGAGAATGGTGACAGCCAGGAAGAGAGCCATGACGCCTCGCACCCTCACTCGGGGAACTACGCTGGGGTAGGCGTCGAAGGAGAGAAACAACGGCTCATACATCCCAGCGTCCGACACCCATGGAGAGGGAGAAAGGGGAGAGGGGACTGGCAACTTCGTCGAGGGGCAGTGAAGGGTCAGCAAGCAGACGATTCACCTAGATAATCCCGTGAGAGTCGAGGAGGAATTAATCCGATGCTCCGCGGAGGGCTGCCGAGAGAGGAGTGGGACAGAGTCACATGACTGAGATAGCTGACTACTTTGCTTGCTGACTCAGCTCCGAGTCAACTGGGTGTAGATCATGGGATGTTCCAGACTAAACTACTTTGGGACATTCCTCAAAAAATAGCCTGCGCCAGCCGGAAGGGGCCTAGTGCCCGCTTGAAGCCGAGGAAGGCAGGGAAGAAGCAGCCTGGAGCACATGACGGACCGCCCGGCCGGGGAGAGACAGACGAAGCGGTTGGGCTGTTGAGCCTTCTTGCAGGTCCCAACAATCATAGAATCGCCTTTTGCTAACTCCTTCTCCCATTTCGCTGTCCTATCTGTCTCCCTTTGTTGTCTATACGCCCTGCTGGTGCTGCAGGTTCCACTCGCTTGGTTTCGATCGTGGTCAAATGCTTGCATGCCAACTCATTCGCTTTGCAAGTGACCGTCTCTCGTTAGTGATTCCACTTCGGCGCATGTCTTTCGGGCATTGTCACATGGGCCGTATGTAGGCGGCAATTCCTGCACCTCCGCCGTCTGACCTTCAACCCCCCTCTCTATCTGCTGTGTTCATTGTTTTGTGCTTCGCCTTTATCGCTTGGGGATTGTTACAATATTCTCCAGGGACTTTCCCTGTCATTCTCGCAGGATGCAGTACGTCCGAAGTATCAGTGGTTCCGTCTCCAAGACGTGGAACTCCATCAATCCAGCCACCTTGAGCGGGGCAATCGATGTGATCGTAATTGAACAAGAGGATGGTTCGTGGTTTGCCTCTTTTCTCTGGTCAATCGGACACTAATCTCTCGTATAGGAACTTTGGCTTGTTCACCTTTCCATGTTCGATTCGGCAAATTCTCTTTGCTCCGCCCGTACGAGAAGAAGGTACCGTTCCCGCATCGTTCCTCTCAGCAATCCCCATATAACTAAGACGTTCAAGGTGGAATTTTCCGTAAATGGTGTCAAGCAAGATTATGCGATGAAGCTGGGCGAAGGCGGAGAGGCCTTCTTTGTCTTTGAGACAACAGACGAGATCCCCGCCTCGCTGCAGACTTCGCCCCTGGTTTCTCC